AAAAAAAAAAAAAAAAAAGAAATTGACCATGTGAGTTTACAACTCTTGGAGAATGAGGAGGGGGTCAGAGAATATCCCCTGAATCTGTAGTGTAGATTCCTTCTGGGAGAGGACAAATAATAATGGATGAGGGCATTTAGCCATATAAGGTGTGTAGTGCCCACCAAAAGAGGTTCATGTCTTCATAAAATTGTTAACAAAAGACATAGTTTCAGGTTTGTTTGCTTTTCGTTTTGTTTGTTTTGAGACAGAATCTTGCTCTGTAGCCTAGGCTGGAGTGCGGTGGCACGATCTTGGCTAACTGCAACCTCCACCCCCCAGGTTGAAGCAATTCTCCTGCCTCAGCCTCCCCAAGAAACAGGGATTGATTACAGGTGCGTGCCACCACATCCCAGCTAATTTTTTGTATTTTTAGTAGAGACGGGGTTTCGCCATGTTGGCCAGGCTGGTCTTTCAGCTCCTGACCTCAGATGATCCACCCGCCTCGGTCTCCCAAAGTGCTGGGATTACAGGCGTGAGCCACCATACCTAACTGGTTTCCAGGTTTTGAAAAGACACTGTTGTCCTGGTTTTAGACTCAGCAGCATCCCAGACAAGAAAGGAATTCTATGGATTAAAGTTTTTTACTGTTTTTTTTTTTTTTTTTTTTGCCCGCTTCAGATGGGTAAACGTTTGTGGGCGGCACATCTGACACAGGTGCGTGAACACCCTGTCATCATGCTTATGAACTACAAAAGGATCACTCTTAACCTTTAAGTGACTTCAGAATTGATTCCACATGGACCACAGGATTAGTATTTTAGGACTCCACCATATGGATTCTATTGACATGTTTGACACCTGGTTCAGTTTTACTTCAGCCAAACTGATTGATTCAATGTGCATGATTATCCAAGCCTTTCTAATCGAATGAAATGCCTTCTCCCTCCACCTACCCCGCTTCTCCTGCCTCAGTCGAATCCACCTTTTAAGCCTTCCCTGAACATTCAGCCAGAAATGGCCATTTCTTTCTCCAGCATTTGTTGGACACAGTTTCCTAATACACATTACAGATTCTGATAGTTCTAGATATTCTATCTGCAAAATAAGCGTCAGTACACGAGATAGAGTGGATTATAGCAATGCTGTTAAGCTGCAGGTTGCAACCCATTGATGGGTCCTGACCAGCAAGTAAAATTGAAGCTGGGTGCCGTGGTGCATGCTGGTAATCTAGCTACTTAGGAGGCTGATGTAGGAGGATCGTTTGAGTCTAGGAGCTCAAGGCTGTAGTTCAGTGGGATGATCATGCCTGTGAATAGCCACTGCGCTCCAGCCTGGACAGCAGGGAGATTCCATCTCTTAAAAACAGTGAAAATGAAATAGAGCATATGAGAGGGCCTTGTTCATAGGAAATCAGTATTATTTTGTGGAACTTTTAGTTATATGCGTATATGCAGGTGTATGTATTGAGTCTCATTATAAAGTATATTTCTTACTGGGGTTATCAGAAAGTTTGAAAGCCATTAGACTAGGAGATAGGTATGCCAGGGTTTTAGAAGGAGAGTTTTACCTGGACAGATTGTCTACTTTGAACCAGGTCAGTGACTGCTTGCCAGCGTTTGTTCAGGGAAGATTGTTTCTCATCTATTTGCTTTTTTTGTTGTTTTTTCAACGGAGTCTTACTCTGTTGCCCAGGGTAGAGTGCAGTGGTGTGATCTCGGCTCACTGCAACCTTTGCCTCCCGGGTTCAAGCGATTCTCCTGCCTCAGCCTCCTGAGTAGCTAGGAATTCAGGCACGTGCCACCATGCCTGGCTAATTTTTGTATTTTTAGTAGAGGCGGGGGTTTTGCCATATTGGCCAGGCTGGTCTTGGAACTCCTGACTTCAGGTGACCCGCCTGCCTTGGCCTCCCAAAGTGCTGGGATTGCAGATGTGAGCCACCACACCCAGCCTGTTTCTCATCTATTTGTGTAAGAATTCCGTGTTTACTTACTCTAGATAACTTCAAAAGAAAAAAACTCTGGCCAATAAAAAGCCATAGGAAAGTTTAGGGATCTGTAGAGTAGGCCTTCTTTCTAAGGTTTCCTGAAGATGCCCCAGTGTTTAACAAGAAAGGAAGGGCAGTGTAGAACACCTATTGTTTTCTGAATGGTAAAGGGGTGGGTGTTGGGAGAGCCCACACCTGCAGAGGAGTGCCTTTAGATTTTGAGTGGTGGGTGGTGTATCTCTGCCTCCCAGAAATAGATCTCTTTGGGGAGACAGGCCATACAAGATGTGAATCTGGTGACATTTTATTTATTTGAAGCAAAATTTTTTTAGATAGAGAAAGGTTTTTAAAAATTGTTTTTAAAATTAAAATTTGAATAGATAAGAAGTAATCACTAAAAAAAAAAAGCATAAAAAATGCTCATATTAGCTGGGTGTGGGGCACTCACTTGTAGTCCCAGCTACGTGAGTGGCTGAGGCAGGAAGAATGTTTGAGCCCAGGAGTTTGAGTCCAGCCTGGGCAACATAAATAGACCCCATCTCTTTAAAAAAAAAAAGTAGAAAGAATGCTAATATCATGAACATGTGTGTTTCCACCGCCCAATTTAAGAAAAAGAACAATACTTTTGAAGTCTGCTGTGTACCTCTCCTTGATCCCATCTCTTTCCCTTGTCTCTTAGACGTGAACTATCCTGATTCCCTACTGTGCTTTTTAGTGTGATGCCTGAAGAATGTATTGTTCCATTTTGCATAGCTATAAATTTCATAGAAATGGAAACATAGTGCATATGTGGTGTGATTCACTGTTTTTGCTCATCATTATATTCCTGGGATTATCCATTTTTAGGTTTATGTGTGACTGTGATTTATTGTTTACATGAAAGTTTCCCTGGTTTGACTTGCTCTATCTTCATATTTTTCCTTAAGCTAAGTGTTCAGTATACTAAGGCAGTATGGGTGGCACTTCTTTACCCCACCACCCCATCTCTTCTCCTTTTCCTAGCCTTGAGGGCTGCACCTAGATGAACCTGTGAGGTTCACTGGACCCTTTTGGAAGCACCGAGGCCTGCTGAAGTTTCCAGACCTCTGTACGAATCTATTGCAGTTTTTTTAATGTTACAGGCTGAATATAAAACCAAGTGACTCCTGCTGAAAACATTTAAATATTGATTAACAAATACTGTCAGTAGCTTTGACATTTCTGTCAGTTTCTTGATTTTTCCACTCTTTTTGTCTCTCTTTCCCCTTCCACATTTCGGGACATTATGTTGTTAATAGATTTTTTTTTTTTAATATTTGTTTATTTGTACACCTCCTGTTACCTTCTGATGTTAATAGGTTTCTGACCATCAGACTTGTCCGCAAGAACCGGTAAGGCTGCTTTTCTGTGCTAAAACTAGGAGCTGATGGGCATCATGAAGATCTTCTGCAGTCGGGCGAATCCGACCACGGGGTCTGTGGAGTGGGTAGAGGAGGATGAACACTACGATTATCACCAGGAGATTGCCAGGTACTGGGTTGGTTTACAGCAGGCTGCACCTGGGTGGGGCACTTGATCCCAAATCAGATGCTGTGGGATCCAATCTGAGCGTGGGCTAGGCTCTAACCCAGTGCTTATGATGAGGGCTGGGTGTTGGTCCTGAGCAAATCTGCTCAGCCAGGTAGGTATATGTGGCAGTTAGGCAAAGTCATGCCTGTTTGGAGCGTCAGACATTTTGTAGCAGCCTTAGCAGAGCCTCAGCATCTGTTTAGTGGAGCAAAGGAAACCCAAGGCTCAGTAGTAGTGTTGATGAAGTTGAATCATTTACTTGCCTCACTGAAATGGTGACACATTCATCATCGTATGGTTAAATTCTTTTGAATGAAAAAAATGAAAATGCCTTTTTTTTTCTTTTTTTTTTTTTTTTTTT